CTTCAATGGCAGGACAAGAGCTGAGACAGTTGAAGATGGACTGGGTGCTGTGGTTGACCAGGGCACCTTTTGTGTATTGCCGTGCTCTTAGCGTACAACATCACTTGCGGAGACTGCCTTCATGAATGTTGTCCTATTCTAGTAGGTTTCATCCACTCAATCCGCCGGACTCTGTCTTCACATTCTTGGGATAGACAAGTCCCTATCTCATCGAAAGGTCAATGACCCAATGGCTATTCTCAACCTGGTTTGGTCAGCCTGTCAAAGCTGTTGCTTGGGTTATGGCCGCTGCACATGCTACAGCTACTAGGAGCCACAGGTGAGAGCTGAGTGACAGGTGGGGACCAAAGGTGGATGAGCTTCCCTGAAAGGACATGACCTGCCCTTACACCAGAGGTGCTACCCCTCCCTGCACACTCCATGCTACCCCATTACTCTTAGTAACTTTAAGCGAAAGGTCAACACACATATAACAAAAATCTCAGTCATTTCTAGATGTCCTGCAATTCAGAATTAAACCTAAGGCCTCAACTCTGAGATGTTTATGTCTCCAGTGAGCAATAGAAAACTATTAAAGTGTAAGGCTAGCTCACTTTGGGCCCTCTGAAGCTAATGACAGGGTTCGAATCTGAGATAAAGAAAGAGCTCTTTAACTAGGAAGGTTTAAGTCACTTTAATTGCAGTGGGAGATCTTCTACATGCTTGTTGGGGTCCATATGGTGCACTACAATAATTCATATCTCCTTGATTGCAACAGGTGGAAGTTCCTCAAAAGGATTTTTGCAAGCACAAGCACTATCCCTTTGGGTTGGGGTTTAACTTGGGCAGTACCCCTTTAAGGCACAAGATGAGTGGCAGGTTTTAAGCAAGAAGTTTAAAGGGTGGGGCAGAAGCACTTATTGACAAAGAGTTAATTCCTCTCTAAGCCACAGTAACAAATGGCAACAATGACTGGTGTCACTTGATGGATGTGAACCAATTACAGAGAAGACAGTGGTGTGACTTGGCTCTCAGAGGTTAGACACTGAAGTAGGCTCTGATTACTGAATTATGATGGAGATGTGTTTGCTAATAGGCCGGGTGAACTAGTCCTCAACTTGTGTAACTTGTGAACAATGTCAGTAACTAGATAGAGAATGGCTGATGCAAGAGAATGTCAGTGACAACTTTATTGGTTGGAGAATGGGACTCTCTCACCCGACCTGTGACAACATCCCAGTCGCTGGTGATTTCGCTGCAGAAGGGGGCCCCCAGCGTTCCCACGGTACCTCCTGTAGAGTTCGTTCCTGACTGCAACTCTGGATCACTGGTCGACAAGGTAGTTCTCCAGATTCTTTGGCAATGTCAGCGGTCAGCTGTTCCTCCCTTTTTCTCTGATCTCTCTCTCTCTCTGTGGCCTAGTCCAGTCCTTCGGCATTCGCACAGCTTTCTCCTCACACCTTCCTTCCAGCTCTCTCATAGCTCACTTCCTGCCTCAGTTCCTGGGCTTCTACATTTATATGCCTCTGCCCACATGCCTGCTCCTCTGGGAAGTCCTTCAGTTAGCTGCCTTCTAACAAAGTTCTGCAGTTTAGCCTACAAGATATATAAAGCTTTTCACCAGATTGTGTGCCACTGAGTTATACGACACTGCCAGGCTTGTGTCTCTTTTAACATCCTGCAGTTTGAATAATAGCAGGGTGTTACAGTACACTTCTAAATTAACACACCAAAGCAATGTGAACAGGCCCTTAACAGGTTCCCGCCCGGCCTATAGCCAGATGACAACCTGCAAAACACATCGTCCCTCCGGGTGGACGCCTTATGGCGTCCTTTCAGACACACGCAGTTTACCTGTCAGCAGAGCCACGCAATGGCGCAATCTGTCACCAGCCATGTACCTTGGACACGGCCGATGGCAAATCTGTTTACCGGCCCATTGCCGGTACCATATGACCTGCTGTGACCAATCACAGCAGGTCACATGACAGTTGTATACAATGGATGGCTTCCTTTCATACCATCCATTGTATACAAGTGTGGCTATCTGTGAATGGTCGCAGCGATCACATGCACAAGCTGGGCCAATCAAGGCCCAGCTGTGTCATGTGATTAGCTGTGGCCAAATCATAGTTAAGAAAAAAAAAAACCCTGAATGAATCGATGTCATTCAGGTAAATGCTTGCTTATAGCAAAGTAATTCTTTGCTATAAGCAAATTGTGTAAAAAAAAAATACTGATCACTTCCCCAAAGTAGTAGAATGTTACTATGGTAACATTATACTACTTTGGTCATAGTGAAATATGAAAAAAAAAATTAAAAAAGAGAAAAAAAAGGTAATACAAAATAATAAAAAAGTATCCACCATTTTTTTTTTGTACTGTCACCAGTCAGTGTCCCTGATCACCGCCATGCCAGTTATATGATGATGCTGTACTGCACTGGTGACAGTATGTAAAAAACAAATAGTGAAAATCATTTTTTTTTATTTCTTCATTTTCGAAAAATTATGACAAAAAAATTACAACTTCAAAAAACTCGCCATGCCTGTTATGAAATACGTCGGATTGTCTACTTTGCAAAAAGGGGTCATTTGGGGGATATCTGTACTGTTCTGACATTCTTGGACCTCAAGAAATTAGATTGGCCGTCAGTACTTCAGGATTGATCAATTTTCAGATATATCCCATAGTTTGTGAACTCTATAACTTTCCTACAGACTAAATAATAAAAACTAATTTGGGTTATTTTCACCAAAGACACGTAGTAGAGTACATTGTGACCTAAATTTATGAAAAATAATTATTTATTTGCAAACTTTTATACCAGAAACAAAGAAAAAAGTGGGTTTTTTTTGTAAATGTAGCAAAAAATAAAAGCCCCAGTGGTTATTAAATACCACCAAAAGAAAGATCTAGTTGTGTGAAGAAAATGATAACATTTTAGTTTGGGTACAATGTTGTATGACCACGCAATTGTCATTCAAAGTGTGAGAGCGCTGAAACCTGAAAAATAGCCTGGGTAGGAAGGGGGTAAAAGTGCCCAGTATGGAAGCGGTTAACCTATGTAAATAGTTTTTTATATAGTACATGTGGAACTCCAAAATCAAATTGTTTGATCTTTTTTTATACTGTATGTCCTTCTTTAACAAAATCATTTTTAGTTATTCTACCAGCAAGTGCACTTCCATGTTTGTCCACCTCCAGAAGTGGGGGCCCATTGATCCTTAGGAAAAGGAGGCCCTGAGTGATGGAAACATGTCACTTGGTTGTCAGTAAATAAGGCCCATTCCTTCCTCACATTGCAACATAATTTTATTAACCATGTGGACTGAATCCCTAGGATTGGTTAACTAATCCCTCCTGTTTTTTACAAAACTGATGGAATACTGACCTTTTGCTGCCTGGCCAGCCACCAAGAATGTTCTCAACTGCCCTGTTCTAAGATTATTGTAGCTTTACTGGCATTTTTATTTTACCTGCCAAGCTTTGAATGGTTCTAGCAGTAAGACCTCTGTGAGCATTGGTTAGTTGGACACTTGTCTGGAACTTGTGGTGAAGACAGGTGTTTATCCGATATTATGATTCTATAACACTCTTATAATGATAACAACATTGGATGCCCACTCTCTGACTGGCACAGAGTAATGCTGATTTTTTTTAACCACTTGCCGACCGCGCATAGCCGAATGACGGCTTCACCGCGGCCGGCCAGTTCTGAGTGGACGTCATATGACGTCCTCCCAGAACGCGCTCTCCTGCGCGCCCCAGGGGGCGCGCACCCGGCGATCTCCGTGATCGCTGTGTCCTACGGACACAGCTGATCACGAGATGTGGTGAAAGGCCGATCCCACCGGCCTTTTACCACGTGATCAGCGGTGTCCAATGACACGCTGATCACAGGAAAATGCAAGTGCCGGTTCTCGGCTGCACTTTCCTCACGCTGTCAGATCGTGAGGAAAGTACTGCCGAGAACCGGCAGTTGTCAGAGCGGGGATCGGCACCGATCATTAGGGCACTGATGATCAGTGCCCTGATGATCGGTGCCCAGCAGTGACCCCCGCAAGTTCCGATCAGCTGTGCGCCCACTAGCCCCGCCCACCCATTCCCAGCAGTGCCCCCACCTGTGCCCAGCAGTGCCCCCACCTGTGCCCAGCAGTGCCCCCACCTGTGCCACTCTGCAGTGCCACCTACCTGTGCCCAGCAGTGCCACCTACATGTGCCCAGCAGTGCCACCCACCTGTGCCCACCCACCTGTGCCCACCAGCGCCACCCACCTGTGCCCACCAGCGCCACCCACCTGTGCCCACCAGTGCCACCCACCTGTGCCCACCCACCAGTGCTGTCCACCAGTGCCACCCACCAGTGCCACCCACCAGTGCTGCCAGTCAGTGCCACCAGTCAGTGCCCAGGGGTTGTGCCAGTCAGTGCCGCCAGTCAGTGCCCAGAAGTGATGCCAGTCAGTGCCGTCTATCAGTACCCATCATCAGTGTCACCTATCAGTGCCGCCTATCAGTGCTGCATATCAGTGCCGCCTATCCGTGACCCCTAATTAGTGCTGTCTATCAGTGCCGCCTATCCGTGCCACCTCATTAGTACTGCCTATCAGTGCCCTTTAGTGCTGCCTATCAGTGCCCATCAGTGCCGCCTATCAGTGCCCATCAGTGCCGCCTCATCAACGCAAATCAGTGAAGGAGAAAAAATACCTGTTTGAAAAATTTTATAAAAGAAACAAATAAACTTTTTTTTTTTTTTTCAAATTTTTTGCACTTTTTTTAATTTATAGCGCAAAAAGTAAAGCGCCCAGTGGCGATTAAATACCACCAAAAGAAAGCTCTATTTGTGAGAAAAAAATTATCAAAATTTCATATGGGTACAATGTTGCATGACTGCGCAATTGTCAATCAAAGTGCGGCAGCGCTGAAAGCTGAAAATTGGCCTGGTAAGGAAGGGGGTATAAGTGCCTGGTAGGCAAGTGGTTAAAGATGTTGAATATTAAATATGCTGCTTTAATTCAATAAAGCTGTGGCCAGGGGCGGACTGACCATTTGGAAACTCGGCACTGCCCGAGGGCCTGGGGTCAGTAGGGGGCCCCATGAGATGCCCCTGGTACCTTTTTCATAGGCTTTTTTGAGTTTGGGCAAGGACACAGGGGCCCCATGATCCCCTATTGCCCGGGGGCCCCATGCGTTGTCAGTCCGCCCCTGGCTGTGGCCATGCCTTTTCAATGCAATTGACTTGTAGGGGAAATGGGTTATGGTTGGTTTAAGCTTACAGTTCTCATCTGTCATGCCAATACAGTACTTGTATAAGAAAAGCATCCTGTTCTCTTTGTATTGCTTCCTTTGTGTGAAATCCCTGGTGTCCCTGCCAATCCCCCTGCATTCCAAATAAAACTATACCTCGCTAGGCATGAGAGCACAGCATGGTCAATTTTCTGGCTGTGCTGGCAGCTAATCCAATGATCAGGCTTGTGCTGACATGCTCCCCCCCCCCGCACAGCTATTCACTGGGAAGATCAGCATGCTGTTGTTTCTCCTCCCCAAGCTCCATATGCAGCTGGAAAAAGGAGAAGAAAATGTATTAATAATTTTTTTTATATAAATTTTAAAAAAATGCAGCGCACAAATGAATAGGTGTCTAGTACATCAAACATATATAAATAGAACACAGATAAATAGCGTTTATAAACACGTGTGAGATGAGCTGATGCTCAGTCCAGTATAAAAATAAATAAAAAAAATTTAGATTTTAAGAAGTGTCACACAAGGGTGCAAAGTTGCGCTGGAAGGCACAACACAGTGTATCAGTGACAGTCTAAAACTCCAAAATGGTGCAGATCCGTGCATCAGGTGCATGTGGAAAAGGGGGGTAAGTTGCACTAACCAGATAGCGCAAATTATAGCGCTTTTGAGTAATCAAGACCACTCCTGGTCATCATCCTCCTGGGATAAACGGGGTACATCTGGTAAACGCGTCTGCCCATATCCTCTTCTCCACTAACACTTTCCGGATCACAGGGAAGATTCCATTTCACTCTTAAGCACCCAATGATAAGCACTTAAAGGGATCCACCTTAGTGGCTCAAAATAAATGAGCCAGAGAAGAAAGTGCTATATAGTGGAGTAAGTTTATTAAATCAGCAGCAAAATCATAAAATTGAACATAGTAAACTCCTTTACAAATTTATTATTTTGAGGGTTGGAGGTTTGACCTTTTATGCCAGCTGCCATCTCTAGCGCTCGTTTATCATTTTATCGATTTTTTTTTTTTTTATATGTATACATAAATGTTTTGCCTTTTATTTTTTATTGTAAATTGAATGGGTTGTCTTACAAGGTGTGGGTTTACATACACTCTACCTTTAGTAATTATCATTAGGTATAGGCATGATAAGCCATATATAAGGAGTTTGGAAAGGAAGTCTGTCATATATCCTCACAGGTGGGGATATAATCCATGGTTATATATTTGTGAGAGTCTGGTGCTCCAGCAAAACTGAGATGTAGAGGAACACAGCAATATCAGATCTACAGAATGGGCACACATTAGTTCTTTATTAGCAATTCTTGGTTACAAAAACAAGATGAAAAATGCAAGTAGAGTTACAATGATGCTGAGCTAGAGCTTCCACCTTAACCCTTTAACCCTTTTGCTGCCAGACTCTGCGCTCCACTTTTAAACTCAGGTGTCCAGACCATTTTTGCAATTTTTCCATTGTTTTTTTATTTTTCCCTTACAGCTTTCAGAGTTTTTAAAAGACCCCCCAAACCATACATTTTCTGAAAGCATAGGAACAGTAGAATAAAAAAGGTGCTACTGATTTTTTTTTGGCACCGTGATATTTTCGCAAATGTTTATCAAAGCAAATGTTTGGCTAAAAATACACAAAAATCCTTATTCACGGACACAAACACAGCAAAACTTACAAAATTCCTGCTAAATTCCTATTAAATATAAAAGCTAAAGCTGCAGTGAGTTAATAAATAACATATATTTGGACATTTTAAATTGCTCCTTTTTGTGAAATGGTAAAAACTCAAGGTGCGAAAAAAAATCTGAGGTTATCATTTTTCCCTTACAGCTTCAGAATTTGTTAAAGATCCCCCAAACCATATATTTTCTGAAAGCACCTAACCTGTAGAATAAAGAAAATGTGCTACTGTTTTTTAGGTCCTGCAATAGTTGCACAAATGTTTATCAAATCACTATTTTCACTAAAAATACACTAAAATCATTATTAGTGGAGAAAAGCACAACATAATCCACAAAATTCCTGCTAAGGTTTTGTTCACATGGGGCATACAAAAGTGTATGCCCATGGAGGGCCATGTTTACCTGCACAGGGATGCCCAGGTGTTCCATGCACCCCCCTTCAGGCAGTCCTATTCATGTCAATTGAGATGAGGTAGCTGCTGGGACACACCTGCTGCTCCCAACTGTACATCCTTGTGGGTGTGGGTGCACGGCCTCGACAACTGAAACAAGGAACATGGAGTCAGACCCAAATGGATGTCAAATGGGGAGCAGCGGCTGTGTCTGTGTAGCCACTGCATCCCAATTGGCATCAATGTAACTGCCTGCATGGGGATGCGTGGAACACCTAGGCATCCCTATGAAGGCAAACACAGCCTTGCAGGGGCGTACACTGTAGTATGCCCTGTGTGAACAAGGCTGGAGGCAAATGAATGGGTTGCTGTGCCACATGTCCCTCAAGGAAAAGGTACATGCATCTTTTCCAAACCTCATTTGCATGGAAACTGCATGGTCCCGCGAGCAGTGCGGGATCAGATGCATGGGGGTGCCATTCATTCTGAATAGTACCCTCCCCCCGCATGTCTTAAAAGAGAAACATAATGCGGCTGCATGTGGTTGCGGGTGCATCAACAGGTGCGATTCCTGCACAGGCAACTAGCCCAAAGCTGTGGGCTAGTGTGAACCAGGGATCACTATGTTGTTTTTTTTTTTTGTTTTCTATTTATTTATACAATTTATTTTTAATATTTTGCACAATTTTGGGGGGGGGGTGCTTTATTGAGATATCAGATGTCTAAATAGACCCCTGATGTTTCTTTTTGAGACAGAGAAAGGGACTGAAGACACAGAATTCAGTCCCTTTCTCTGTATCCTCAGCTGCAATGCCCATGAATGAATAGTGACCACTGTTGTCCATTCATAAATTGACACATTTGAAGGTGTCAGCAATCAGTGAACACAGAAGTGATCAGTAGGGATCACTGTCTGTGTTCATGAAGGAAAGGAACCTACTCTCCATCCTGACAGTAATCTCCCTCTGGAGCAGGTAGGCAGCAGCAGATTCATGGTGAGGGGGGTTAATAAATGTTATTGTGGGATTGTTTTTTAACCCTTTCACCTCCCCCTATTCATCTCCTATCCTTGTAGTGCCTGTACAGTATATTAACCCCATTCACCTTCTTTATCTTGCATTAACCCTCTCATATCCATCATCCCACTGTATGTGACCTGTACATACAGTCTGTTCTCTACCTTCACCAGGGGCGGACTGACAACTCATGGGGCCCCCGGCCAATAGGGGATCATGGGGCCCCTGTGTCCTTGCCCAAACTCAAAAAAGCCTGTGAAAAAGGTACCAGGGGCATCTCATGGGGCCCCCTACTGACCCCGGGCCCTCAGGCAGTGCCCGAGTTTCCAAATGGTCAGTCCGCCCCTTACCTCCACCCACTATTTATGACATTCAGATGCATTGTAGATAGTGCACTTTTACGAAGCTTCTTGTTTTAAACAACCTTTTTGTTACATTTAGATATTGGCATTAATAGAATATCTGCAGTTATATGTGCTCACTTTAATGTTCTCCATGTTGTTTAACTTAAGTTAAGTTCAAATGCTGTGAATGAAAATATGGCCTACCATTATAGGTCTACTTTAAATGCTAGTTGCCTGGTTGTCTCTGGCTTCAGAATGTTTGCGTCACAATTTTGACACAAGCATGAAGGACTGTAAATGACAGCCAGAGATCAGAAAGATGCTGCAATCCTTAAACACAAACACACCAATATTTTCACGCTTTTGCCTGCATGTGTCTGTATATTACCAACAAAAAATGTTGGTGAAAGTTCATCTCACAAATTGGGTAAATGTGGTCTTTTGTATGTACTTAGACCATAAAAAGGAAGGCATTTTACCTTTATCTATTTTACTGTAAGAAAATAAATTATCATTATACATTTTAACATTTGATAAAGGATTCCCAGAGCACTATAGCTTAAAGGGAATTTTTGCATTTTTATTTTTGTAAAACAAACCTCTATTTCTTCCAAAAAGTAACAGCAATCGGAACAGGTACATAACAATGACAAAGTTGCATGCAGCAGCTTATTAAGTTATAAAAAACTAACTGGCATTGTTATAGTTTGTCCCAACCTTTGTAACTGTTACTGTTTACTTGGCCTGCATGTATTGTAAGTGTGGAGAAATAAATGAGTATGGGAAATATAAATAATTACATTTATAGAGTCCAGTCACAAAATCGTATATTAACCATATACAAATATCTGAATATAATATCTGTGTAGTCCATTGAGTGGTTATTATGTAATGGAACAAATCTTCCAACGTGCTAGGAAAATTTCAGTCACCGGCACTTCAAATTCTGACACTTCTGAAGAATGGCTATATGAAGAACCCCTAAAGATTGGATTGCCTAATGCTGAGTTTGCTGAGGTTTAGAAGAATCAGACATCTTAAAATGTAGTTATGGACATCTTAACATGTGCTAGCGAGATATTTTGCATATTCTTAGCAAGCAGTAAAATTGCTTTAACCACCTCCCGGCCGCCATATAAGGAAATGATGGGAGGGCGGAGGCTCTCGTTCTGGGAGGACGTTATATGACATCTTCTCACTCTAGCTGCACCCACACGCGGTCCTCGGGGCGTGCAGTGCAGTGATCGGTGGTGCGCTGTGTCCCTGGGACAGAGCGGATCATAAATCACAGTAAAGAGCCAATGATGACAGGCTTTATCATGTGATCAACTGTGTCCAATCACAGCTTAACACATGTAAATAGGAAAGCTAGAAAAAAAAGTATGGTGCTTATAAAAGTGTATAAAACGCTTTTGCAAGCGTTTAGACGCGTTTACACACGCTAAGTGTTTTTTCTGCCAAAACGTTGCTGCTCCTGGATGCACTGGCCCTGGGTTTTTTCTCCTGCTGGTAAACACCCCTGCCACTACAAAGCTTATAAAAGTCTATATGTGCATGAACACATAGGATAACATGGAGGGGCATTTGAAAGCAGTAAAAAACTCCTGACATCCCTAAAAGTGGCTGCAAATATGCCCCGTGTGCACGAGGCATGAAGATGAATTTCTCTAAAGTTTCTATACCTAGCTATTTTAAAGTGCATTTACTGTTTGTTAAGAATATGTAAATATATATATATATATGTATATATATATATATATATATATATATATATATATATATATATATATATATATATACAGCTGTGTTCAAAATAATAGCAGTGTGTTGAAAAAAGTGAATAAAGCTCAAAATCCTTCTAATAGCTTTTATTTCCATACACACAAATGCATTGGGAACACTACACATTCTATTCCAAATCAAAACATGAAGACAAATATATCAAATTTGTGTTGTTCCTCTAAAAAAAATTGAAGAAAAGTGAATATTAGACTGTTCAAAAAAATAGCAGTGTTTGTATTCTTCTTTACAAACTCAAACATTCACTATATAAACTGAAAAATGTTTGAAGATTTTGCTTTCCTTTGAATCACTTAATTAATATTTAGTTGTATAAGCACTGTTTCTGAGAACTGCTGTACATCTGTGTTGCATGGAGTCAACCAACTTCTGGCACCTGTGAACAGGTATTCCAGCCCAGGATGATTGGACTACATTCCACAGTTCTTCTCTATTTCTTGGTTTTGCCTCTGAAACTGCATTTTTGATGTCACTCCACAAGTTTTCTATTGGATTAAGAAAACGTCAATCTTGTTGGTCTGGAACCAAGATGTTGCACGTTTACTGGTGTGTTTGGGGTCGTTGTCTTGTTGGAACACCCATTTCAAGGGCATTTCCTCTTCAGCATAAGGCAGCATGACCTCTTCAAGTATTCTGATGTATTCAAACTGATCCATGATCCCTGGTATGCGATAAATAGGCCCAACACCGTAATATGAGAAACATCCCCATATCATGAGGCTTGCGCAACCATGCCTCACTGTCTTCACAGTGTACTGTGGCTTGAATTCAGTGTTTGGGGGTCATCTGACAAACTGTCTCCGGCCACTAGACCCAAAAAGAACAATCTTACTTTCATCAGTCCACAAAATGTTGCGCCATTTCTCTTTAGGCCAGTCAATGTGCTCTTTGGAAAATTTTAACCTCTTCAGCACATGTCTTTTTTTTCAACAGTGGGACTTTGCGGGGGCTTCTTGCAGATAGCTTGGCTTCACATAGGCGTCTTCTAATTGTAACAGTACTCACAGGTAACTTTAGACCTTCTTTGATCTTCCTGGAGCTGATTGTTGGCTGAGTCCTTGCCATTTTGGATATTCTTCTATCTATTCGAATGGTAGTTTTTCGCTTTCTTCCACATCTTTCAGGTTTTGGTTGCCATTTTAAAGCATTTGCGATCATTTTAGCTGAGCAGCCTATCATTTTATGCACTTCTTTATATGTTTTCCCCTCTCCAATCAACTTTTTAATCAAGGTACGCTGTTCTTCTGAACAATGTCTGGAACAACCCATTTTCCTCAGAATTTCAGAGAGAAATGCACTGTAACCAGCATGTACTACATTTGCTTTCTTCCTTCCTTAAATAAGGGCAACAATTGCCACCTGTTTTTCAAAGAATGAATGACCTCACTAATAGAACTCCACACTGCTATTATTTTGAACATGCCCCTTTCAATTAGTGATTCAATTACACAGAATCAGCAGCATGCATGTCATGACTGATGGGTCTGTTGGATTTCTATTACTCTACTACACCTGCTAGTAAATTATTTGCCATGTAGAAATATCATTTCTACCAAAAACAGTGATTGATCAGGTTAGTGATGTCTGACTGCTATTATTTTGAACACAACTGTATATATATATATATATATATATATATACACACACACACACAGTACATAGTGCACCCAAAAAGTATTCACAGAGCTTAACTTTTGCCACTTTTTGTTATGTTATAGCCTTATTCCAAAATGGATTAAATTCATCTTTTTCCTCAACATTCTACAAACAATACCTCATAATGACAACGTGAATGAAGTTCGTTTTGAAATCACTGCAATTTATTAAAAAATGCAAAACCAAAAAAAACACATGTACATAAGTATTCACAGCCTTTGTCATTATGGGGTATTGTTTGTAGAATGTTGAGGAAAAATATGAATTGTTGTCATGAATGCCAACATGTACTGTGACATACTGAAGCAGAGCATGATCCCTCCCATAGGAAAATAGGCTGCAGGGCAGTATGCCAACATAACAATCCCAAATACACCTCCAGGATGATCACTGCCTTGCTAAAGCAGCTGAGGGTAAAGGTGATGGACTGGCAAAGCATGTCTCCAGACCTAAACCCTATTCAGCATCTGTGGGGCATCCTCAAATGGAAGGTGGAGGAACGCAAGGTCTCTAACCTCCACCAGCTCCGTGATGTCGTCATGGAAGTGGAAGAGGACTCCAGTGAGAACCTGTGAAGCTCTGGCGAACTCCATGCCCAAGAGGGTTAAGGCAGTGCTGGAATATAATGGTGGCCACACAAAATATTGACACTTTGGGCCCAATTTGGACATTTTCACTTAGGGGTGTACTCACTTTTGTTGCCAGCGGTTTAGACATTAATGGCTGTGTGTTAAATTATTTTGAGGGGACAGCAAATTTACACTGTTATACAAGCTGCACGCTCACTACTTTACATTGTAGCAAAGTGTCATTTCTTCAGTGCTGTCACATGAACAGATATAATAAAATATTTATAAAAATGTGAGGGGTGTATTCACTTCTGTGAGATACTGTATATATATATATATATATATATATATATATTTACTAAATTGCCAAAAGCACGCCTGCCTTTAAACGCACATGAACTTTAATGGCATCCCAGTCTTAGTCCATAGGGTTCAATATTCAGCTGGCCCACCCGTTGCAGCTATAACTGCTTTAACTCTTCTGGGAAGGCTGTCCACAAGGTTTAGGAGTGTGTCTATGGGAATGTTTGACCATTCTTCTAGAAGCACATTTGTGAGGTCAGGCACTGATGTCAAACAAGAAGGCCTGGCTTGCAGTCTCCACTCTAGTTCATCCCAAAGGTGTTCTATCGGGTTGAGGTCAAGACTCTGTTCAGGCCAGTCAAGTTCCTCCACCCCAAACTTGCTCATCTATGTCTTCATGGACCTTGCTTTGTGCACTGGTGTGCAGTCATGATGGAACAGGAAGGGGCCATCCCCAAACTGTTCCCACAAAGTTGGGAGCATGAAATTGTCCAAAATGACTTGGTATGCTGATGCCTTAAGAGTTCCCTTCACTGGATATAAGGGTCAAGCCCCTTATTGGGCGGCACAGTGGTTTAGTGGTTAGCACGTCTGCCTTGAAGTAAATGGGTCATGGGTTCGATTCCTGACCATGGCGCCTCATGCATGGAGCTTGCATGTTCTCCCTGGGCTTGCGTGGGTTTCCTCCGGGTGCTTTGTTTTCCTCCCACACTCCAAAGACATGTTGGTAGGTTAATTTGATCTTGTCTAAATTGGCCCTAATATGTGCATGTATGAATGTGAAGTTAGGGACCTTAGATTGTACACCCCTTGAGGGTTAGGGACTGATGTGAATGTTCAATATGTATGTGTAAAAGCGCTGCGTAATTGACAGTGCTATATAAGTACCTGAAATAATTAAATAAGCCCCACCCCTGAAAAATAATCCCCCCTCCTCCAAACTTTACACTTGGCACAATTCAGTCAGGCAAGTAACATTCTTTTGGCAACCGCTAAACCCAGACATGTCCATCGGATTGCCAGGCAAAGAAGAATGAACAAGTCTCCACTGCTCTAGAGTCCAGTGGCAGTGTGGTTTACACCACTGCATCTGACGCTTTGCATTGCACTTGGTGATGTAAGGCTTGGATGCAGCTGCTCAGCCATGGAAACCCATTCCATGAAGCTCTCTATGCACTGTTGTTGTGCTAATGTTTGGAGGTCTTTAACCTCCCTGGCGGTATTCCTGAGTGTAGCTCGGGGTAACATTTCAGTACCAAAAGCGGTAACCCCGAGCTACACTCGGGCTTACCCTGCGGCACTGCTCCGGCATGTGTTCTTCACTTACCTTACCCTGCGCTCCCACGATGTGTCCCCTGCAGCGTCCCCGGCCATCTCCTCCGGCCGATGCCGGCATCTGGCTTCTGTGCCCTGTCCCTGTGACGTCGGGACGTACGGGCGCGGCCGCCGCCGCCGGCGGAGGGAAATTTAAAAATTTAAAAAAATGTCATTTTTTTTTTTTTTACATTTTACATAGTAAAACATTGCTGTCTCAACCAATTTCACATACATATTGTCCCTAGTGCTTTGTCCTGCGCCCTGCCTGCATTTTGTCTGTTCTTTCTGCCTGGAAACTGAGAAATGTCCATGGCGTCCAAAAAGTGTCCCTTTAGGTCAAAAGCGGTTTAGATCAGCTAGAGAACAGCGATAGTAAATCAGAACCACTTGCAGAATTGAGTGATAATGATTCGTGGGGGAAATTCGTCATCAGACACTGAAAACGATTTTGCGACTGAGCTCAGCAATGTGCGAACTTGGCGCTCTATTTCACATTTCAGTGTTTTTGGTTTGATTATATTATTGAATTAAATTTTTTTTATTTTTATATTATTTTTTATGATTATTTATTAAATTATAATTTATGATTTTGTGTTTCAAATTTTATCATACCCGGGATGTTTACTAGACTCTTGTTCGGACAGATTTCAGTGAGTTTTTCCTAAAAATTACAGCCTACAATAAAAAAAATACATATTTCCATGCAAAAAAAATGGTACCGCTTTCAGCACCAAAAATCTGAAATAATCATACCGCCAGGGAGGTTAACTATTGGTTCCGCAGACAGTTGGTGACTTTTGCGCACTTTGCGCCACTGTGTACTTTAATGCTGAGTTGCTGTTGTTCTCAGGTGATTCCACTTTGTTATAATACCACTAACAGTTGACTGTGAAATATTTAGTAGCAAGGCAATTTTACTGATGGACTTATTGTACAAAAGGCAACCTATCACCGGACCATGCTTGAATTCACTGAGCTCCTGAGAGTGACACATACCACTCAATACAGCATCCAACCACTGCGTACAGTAGTACATAGATTTTTACAGTCTGCTGGCTGCGGGGCAGGATGTTGCATGTGCACCTCAAAAAACACTGGGATGTGACAGCCATCTTTAAGCGGTAGTGTGCACTTTGCCTTAGGCCCCTTTCAAACTAATGTTCAAGTTGTCCGTGTGACGGACTTTCCCGTTTCCAACCATATTTTCCTGGTACTGATGCGCCAATTCATGGTACCTTGCACACGCAGCCGCTTCCCTGTACCTGCAGAAGCAAAACCGCCCCCCAAGATGATTGGACCCATCCAACCATGCTTCACAGTAGGCAAGGTGTTGCTTTTCATCATCAGGCCTTGTGTCTTCCTCCTCCAAACATAGCGTTGATTCCATGGGCCCAAACAGTTCTATAAATTTTGTTTCATCAGTCCACAGAACACTATCCCACAACTTTTGTGGTTTGTCCACATGGCTTTTGGCATACCTGCAGTTCTTCCATCTGTTGATGGATGAAAAATAGACATCAATGCATCTCTATGGAAAAAACAAATGTAAATGATCATCTGTTTACATGTGTTTACACCCACATCCGTCAACATCCCTTTTTTGGGAATGGATCAAAGCCCTATTTTTGTTCTGTTAAAAAAAAAAAAGGAACAAACGAAAGACCGATCTAAAAGGACAAATGTTGCATTGGTAGAAAAAAACATATCTAAAAACTGATGTAAACTGATGAATAACTGATCCGTTTTTTTCTGATGAAAAAAACAGAAAGCCCTTGTGAAAGGACTTTAATATTGTGAAGTTTCATTTACAGCAATTCAGGAGAGACAAAAACAAAGGCACACCTAGGTCGTACCCTTGATACTTTATCCTAGCTGATAGAATTTTAGAATCCCTGGCATTGTTGCTGATGCTGAAGATGCAGCTGTCATTGGTACAGAAAGAGAGAAAAAAAAAATAGGAATGTGATTCCTTCATCCATATTATCTCTGTGTGTTCTGTGAAACTAGCTGCAAAATAGTTTAGAGTAACCACCCAAGCTATTAAAATGTGATATAGCAATCAAATGGAGGAATTGGAATATAGCACAAACCAAGGCTTATTGCTAAAAACAAATTGAACTGCAACCTGGGAGCCAGATTTGCATAATTTTTTGACACTCTCTTGCAGATTTTCATTAATCGCTCAGCATTTGGAGAAAGCATCTAATGAAATATGTCTGTGCATATGCTGTGCATGCGCCCATCCTTCTTATTAGTGAGCAGTAAATGGCCAATGAGAACCATTAGACTGAGCAGAGTCAAGGACTGATATATAACTTTTGAATGTAAAATTACTTTCATATTACCAATTACCAGCTGCAGAAACTGATGTCATCCATCTCACATTTTTTCTCTCACTATCCTGAATGCCAATCAGATATATGTATGCTAGATTTACTAAACATACAAAACACAGCTCACAAGCTGTACATAGTGAGTCTGGACTGCATTGATGAGTTTGACCTTCTTTTGCTAATAGCACTTAAGGATGCCTTACATTAATTTTTATTTTATAGGAGTCATTGTAAAAGAAATTTTGTTAAAACATAATCTGTATGAAGGTATGTTTTGAAACAACAAAGTGAACTTATATTTAGCCCACACAGTGCAAAGTAAGAGCAAAGAAAATATATATCCACTGTCAGTTTTTTTTCTTGCAAAGTGGATTGCCTTGCACTGCGCAGAGCTAAGAAATAGTACTGCATGCACCGCAACACAGTGGTGGGAACCAGGAGCATAGGAGACACGGTATTTGCTGCCCAACACAGTCCCATCACATCTGGTGTGAATCTACCCTTAGGCTAGGTTCACACCTATGGAGTTTGCGTTTGATCCGTTTCTGCAGTGCGTTTTGCGTTGCATTTTTGCACGTGTTTTGGCAGTGTTTTTGCTGCGTTTTGCTTTTTCTTCTTGTTGCTAGGCAGATTTAAAATGCAAAATGCATCAAAAACGTGGCACAAAAGCAGCAAAAATGTAGCAAAAACTCACTACATGCTCTTCTGCAGCGTTTCCATTAAAGTCTATAGAACCAAAAATGCAACTTTTTGCATTTAAAAAAGTCCCTGACCCTTTCCAAAAAGGCACTGGGTGAAAACGCAGAGATGTGAACATGTCCCATAGGAAATCATGTTAAATGGACTGTAGTGTGTTTCTGCAAAATGCTGCGGAAAACTCATAGGTGTGAACCTAGGGTAACACTATTGTGGTCAGAATGTACCGAGTACATTCGCTCTGTACACACACAACGGTTGTTTTGCTGGGCACTGGATTACAATGTAAAATTTCATGTAATATTCGATTCACGCTGTTCTATTCTTTAAAATTTCTTCCTCTGTAGGGGAACATGCTTCAAAAGAGCAGTCAATGTTGCTCTTTCATTGCCTACTTAACCTTGCCTTGCAGATATACATTTTCCCGATTTGTATCATCTATGAAAATGAATTGCATCATGCACAACCTGCAGTTTTTTTCAGCATAGAGCAGGGTTTCTCAATCAGGGTTCTGTGGAACCCTAAGGTTCTTCCAGAGGTTGCTAGGGGTTCCTTGAGTGATTAGATATTTCTGCCTCTCAGGTTCCCAATGACATCACTGATCCTTTTAGCTATCTGTAAGGGAGTAATTCTTCCCAATAACCAAAGCATAAGGAGTTTTATTCCCAGGGACCATCACACTAATGTATCAAGAGTTGTAGATATAGTAATTTTTAGCAGGGGTTCCCTGAGATTGGAAAGTTGTTTCAAGGGTTCCTCTTTGTTGAAAAGGTTGAAAAAGGCTGGCCTAGAGTCTCCCCTAAATGACAAGGTAAGATCCTAGGCACTGCTTCTTTAACTCAAAATCACTTGCTGAATCACGGAATTCAATATACCGTATTTCACGCTCCATAAGACGCACCTGACCATAAGACGCACCTCGGTTTTAGAGGTGAAAAATAAGAAAAAAAATATTTTGAACCAATGGACTGCAGACACAGTACAGGAGATGATCAGAGACTGCAGACACAGTACAGGAGATGACCAGAGACTGCGGACATAGTACAGGGAATGACCAGAGACTGCGGTCACAGTACAGGGGATGACCAGAGACTGCGGACACAGTACAGGAGATGACTGGAGACTGCGGACACAGTAAAGGGGATGACCAGAGACTGCGGACACAGTACAGGGGATGACCAGAGAATGTGGACATAGTACAGGAGATGGACCAGAGAATGCGGACACAGTACAGGAGATGACCAGAGACTGCGGACATAGTACAGGAGATGACCAGAGGCTGCGGACATAGTACAGATGACCAGAGACTGCGGACACAGTACAGGAGATGACCAGAGACTGCGGACACAGTACAGGGGATGACCAGAGACTGTGGACATAGTACAGGAGATGACCAGAGTCCGCATACATAGTACAGGAGATAACCAGAGACTGCGGACATAGCACAGGGATTGACCAGAGACTGCGGACATAGTACAGATGACCAGAGACTGCGGACATAGTACAGATGACCAGAGACTGCAGACAGTACAGGGGATGACCAGAGACTGCAGAAAGTACAGGGGATGACCAAGAGACTGCGGACCTTTGGGGAGGGAGGGGGAGCGGGTACCTGAAGTTGTCCTTTCTTTAGTGTGGGCACGCTGGCTTCTTCCCACACCGGCTTCTGTGACAGCCGGGTGCCCACTGCGCATGCGCGAGAAGCGCTGCGCTTTGTGAATGGTCCGGTGCCTTCTGGGACCTGTCATGTGTCCACTCAAGACTTTGGACATCTTTTTATGTCCTTTTCCATCATTATAAAGTTACATTACCTTGTTACGTAGGACTTTTGACAGTTCTTTTCTGATCCCCATGGCTCAGTATCTAGCTCTTCCACGTAAGAGCTAACAAACTCAGTGACTATTTATACACTGATACTAATTGCAATTTAAAAAGCCACAGATGTGGGACATTAACCTCTAATTGGCATTTTAACCCGTGTGTGTCACCTTGTGTGTCTGTACCAAGGCCAAACATTCCAGGGTATGTAAACTTTTGATCATGGCCATTTGGGTGATTTGTGTTATCATTATGATTTAAAAAGGAGCCAAACAACTATTTGATAATAAATGGCTTCATATGATCATCATCCTTCAATAAAAGAGCATTTTTGGCATGATCAGCCATATTTTCAATATCAATGTCAAAATTTCACAATTTCTGCCAGGGTATGCAAACTTTTGAGCACAACTGTATCTATTAATTGACTTTGATGTAACATCTTTTTTAACAATCTAAATTTTTTCCCCCTCCTCTCGGCGCATTTGAAGTCGTATCCATCCATGGATCCAAACATAAATTAAAATCCCCTGCCATGATCAGGCTACCCCTCTTAAAGTCCATAATTTTTCCCAGCGCTCCCTGCAAGAATACTTCTGAATTTTGATTCGGACAGTAGATTTTAATCAATGTATAGTTTTGTTCCTGCATTTTTCTTCTTACATACAAAAAACGACCTTCTGGGTCTACCAATTTCCCCTCCACTTCAAAGCCTGCACTCCTTGAAAATCCAATTGCTACTGCTTTAGCCCTCTTTATTGGTGAGTCTGCATAGTACCAGGTTCGGTAATACCTCAAATATAACTTCACATTTGATTCATATGTTAAATGTGTCTCTTGCAAAAACACTATATCTATAGAATGTTGGTGGATTTCTCTAAGTATCTTATGCCTTTTAGTAGGAGAATTTAAATCTTTCACATTATAGGTCATGACATTAATCCCGCTCATACCCATTTGATGTTTCTTTTCTCATTCTGCATTTCTGTTCCAAGGAAAGGGGATATGTACAACTCAAATCATAGACCTTAGCCTCACCAACATTCTGTCCTACCCATCCAATCAGGCCTGCCGGGAACCCCGTTATATCGGACTCTTTTCTCCCTCATCTGATCCAATAAGGGTTTCAACGATCTCTTCTCACCAGTGTCTAAGATGCAATGTCCGCAAAGACCTGCAGCTTCGATTTTCAAATCTTATTTCAGGAATCTCCCGCAGTTTTTTCCATATTCTCTCTCTGTCCTCATAATAATGTAAATGAACAATCACTTCTCTAGGGATGTCTGATGTTATTCCTGGAGGCGTCTTCACCTGTAAAATCTCAAAAGTTTCAAAGGATCTGAGGCTAATCTGCCCATTATTGGGTTAAACACTCTCCTTACTTTTTCCCTGAGGTCCTCCTCATGCGCATCTTCTGGTAATCCACGGACCAGGGGCGGACTGACAACTCATGGGGCCCCTGGGCAATAGGGGATCATGGGGCCCCTGTGTCCTTGCCCAAACTCAAAACAGCCTATGAAAAAGGTACCAGGGGCATCTTATGGGGCCCTCTACTGACCCCAGGCCCTCGGGCAGTGCCCGAGTTTCCAAATGGTCAGTCTGCCCCTGCCACGGACCCTTAGATTATTTCTTCTCTCTCTATTCTCTTGATCCTCCAGTTTAAAAGAGAGCTTCCTCTGTTCCATTCGCATCTCCTCCACCTGCTTCTCCAGATTAATGATCAACTGATCTTGTGTCTCCATTTTCTCCTCTGCTTCTTCTACTCTTGTTAACATTAATCCTAGATCCTTATGAAATACCACCATTTCATTTTTCATAGAGTTCTAGTTTTGCAAACATTTCCGCCATCTCTGTTCTTGTAGAGATTTATGATATTGTTCTCTGTTGTTCTGAAACGTTTTGATAATTTACATGATCAACAATTATAGATTGGTTGATCTTGTTCCTTTCCCGTACTCCAGATGATAATCTAAACTGCTCACCATCATATTTTCTACTTCCTTCCTGTTGTTTCTCAATGCCTTGCAGCTCAGGACTTTTTTCTTGTAATGGCATATATTTCTTTATTGTACTAGTATTTGCATTGGGTTGCAGGGTTTTAACTCCCCCCCCCCTTTAACAGATCTATTCTTCATATTAACTGAGCTTAACCATAAATTTCAACTCAAAGTTCAAAGTACAGTATTGTCAAATCTGAAAGCAAAAAAAAAGTCCCTCCTTTCCACTCTTCTCAAAATACTTGTACAGTCCCAGGTAGCCCAGGCAGCCTAAAGAAAGTATACGTTCTTTACATCGATACTTGTCTTCTGTAATCCTCCCGTTCTTTGTTTTTCCAACCACCCAGCACCACTACTCAGGTGTATATTTACAGATTCAAATAACAGAGACAGTGGAAATGTGTATCTCCGGCTGTTGCCCACGGCAACTCTCCATCACCCTCTGAGGTTCCGGGTCCCTCTGCCTTTGTATGTGCCTTCTCTCCCAATCTGAGACTCGTGTCCTGATTCCTATCCTGAGGGGGTTCTGGGCAGTTACTCAGGGTGCCTTTTATTCAGATGTCTCCGAGTCTCATGGTCTCCCAGGGTTTCAGCCTCTCCCGGGCCGGTGGGGTGTCTAGCTACTTAGTTGGCAGAGCCCTGTGTGTGCAGTCCCTCCCGGGGTCCTTCCATGCTCAATCATTCAGGTACCTCCGCCTTCCAACTGTCTTCACACTCCTCCAACCTCCAGGGAGTGCCTCTTTTGGTGAGCGCCAGACCCGCTGGAAACTCACCAGCACCACCCGCACTTCTCAGACCCCTGACTAGAGCCACCGACCTAAACAGGTAGTCTCACGAGGGTACCATCCAGGGAAGACCGGCACAGGCTAGATCTACATGACAGGCGTTAGGAGCTCCAAGACAATATTAGAATTATAATTTTAATTTATTCTATTTGAAAGTTGTATTTTGGAAAACAGTTATATTTTTTTCTATTTTATTGTATTCTATTGTCTATTCTATTCTATTTTATTTTACATTACATTATTTTATAATCTATTCTATTCCTTTATATTCTATGCTATTGTTTTTCTAGTCTACTCTGCTCTATTCTATTCTATTCTTTTATGTTCTATTTTGCTCTTTTCATTTTCAAATTCGATTTGAATTTGAGTCAAATTTTATTCGAATTTATGTCGAAGTTAATTAAAAAATGTTTATTTTGGATTTGTTACTATTGAAATTTGGAAATTTGGATACATCTGAATTTCCAAATAACAAAAAAAGTATTCCGAATTTTGATTCAGAACAAAATGAACCGCACGTCTAATGTTTTTCAATTCAATTGCCCAACAAGGCAAT